TATAAAGGCATTTTTACAGCTTAAGGGCTCTAAAGATCTTTGACTTCTACATTAGCTTCTTACACCCCAGGTCTCTGACCTATTGACCCTTTCTGTAACAAATCATCCTTATCCTGATTAAGATACAGAGCCTACTGCCTAACCTTTCACAGCAATATTTATAAATCACGGATTTAAACTCAAAACATGATACTATCATCCGCTAACCTACATGTACATATATAAATATTGCCAAAACCCTTTTACGCATTCTGAATGAATTTAAGCAGTTTCTAATTTCAAAATATATTATATGGCCCATATTTCCATTATCAATCAATCATTTATTTGAATCTCATCACCATTTTACAATAGCGTACAGAGACTACAAAAAACATATAGGTGATTTTATATACAACAATAGGTCTAGAAAGGCATGCGTGAGTAAGAAACTTAACAAAAACAAAAAAATTGTAGGTTACTATAAATGTGAAGTATGGGAATTTAGGCCGGGGAGCATATTTTATTTATTTTCTTTACAAAGGAGCACAATTTTCGTAGAAAGCAGTGTTTATTGTTGTTCATAATGTTTTTAAAACTAATTATATTCTGGAATTTTATGTGTTTTTCTGTTGAGCAAAGTTTTCTTTCTGTTTGTAGCGAGTTGCAGTTTAAAATGTAATGAAACTCATCTCCGAGTTCTTTTAGATTACAATGGGGACAAATTCTATCTTGTCTTGGTATATTAAGCCAGCGTCCACTTTCAATTGGTAAATGATGATTACACGTTCGAAATCTACAAAATGTTATTAAGTCCTTTTTTGATAAAATATTAAAATAGTTTTCAAATTTTAATTCGTCTTTGTATATTCTATAATTTAAAGCTTTGGGTGAGGTTTGAAGGATTGATTGCCAACTTTGTTTGAATTGATCCAATAATGTGAGTTTAACTTTCGCCTTTAACCATTTAATATTAATTGGGTTTTGTTCAAGCCATACATTTGAGAGTCCACAGTTATTTAAGATATTTCTAATATTTTTCAAGCCAAACAATTTTCCCTCCTATTTCTTGATTTATAATGAAGCCTATTTTATAACATAAATTTGCAATTTTAATTTCCTTTCCAGTGATTAATTTTGACCAATAAGATATCATGCGCGTTTTTATTTGGATTTCCATGGGGTGTCGGCCAAGTTCGCCATATATCATAAAATCTGGGGTTGAATCTTTTAAATGGAGTAGAAGTTTACAAAATTTTAGGTGAACCCTTTCTATTATTGCATTATTTGAAAATCCCCAAACTTCACATCCATATAACAAAATAGGTTGCACAATTTTATCAAATAGATCTAGCTGACACTGTATTGATAGGTTATGTAATCTTCCTTTTTTTAATACTTCGTATAGTGCTTTTGTTGCTTTTTCAGCTATTTTCTTTTTTGCCGTTTTAAATGAGCCAGATTTACATAATATAACTCACAAATAGTTAAATTCTGTTACTACATCTATTTTCTTATCATCATACTGCATCTGTATATTTTCTTCACGTCTACTTTTACTGAATATTAATATTTTTGATTTGTCGATATTTATCTTTAAATTCCATTTTTTACAATATTTACAGAAGCTATCTAGTTGTTTTCGTAGCTCTTCAGAAGATTCTGCAACCAATACAGTGTCATCTGCGTATAAGATTGCAAATAATTTAAAAAATATATTTAGTTTGTTTTCAAACATCTCTGATATAGTTGATAAACCTTCAATATTGGATGCATTCAGGAAATCGTGTAAATCGTTAAGATACATAGAAAATAAAAACGATGACATATTTTCACCCTGTCTAACACCATTTGCACATTGAAAAAAATCTGACTGTTCTTGATTATAGACAATTCTGGATTTTATCTGACTGTACATATTCAAAATAATGTCATACATTTTGCCGTTAATATTGTGAGATAAAAGTTTAAACCACAATGCTTTCCTCCATACGTTATCAAAAGCTTTCTCAAAATCTACAAACAAACAAAATAGTTTTTTCTTTTTTGTTTTAAGAAGCTCAAATAAAATATGTATTGAGAATAAATTATCAATTGTTGAATAACCTTTTCTAAAACCTGTTTGATTTTCATGTATTACTTTAAACTCATCAGAAAATATATTTAGTCGTTCATTAAGAATCGATGTGAAAAGTTTTCCAACGCAACTTAAAATTGTAATTGGTCTGTAATTTTGTGGCTTACTTTTTTCGCCTTTGTTTTTATATATTGGTATAATATTTCCTTCTAACCAACAAGAGGGAATATTACCTGATGAAAAAATTAAATTAAATAATTTTTCATAAATTGGTAACATCATGTTCTGCGTTGCTTTGATATATTCATTTCTTATACCATCTTCCATTTGAAAATTATTTTTCATTATTAATTTATCACACTCAGCAGACATCTGCAGAGACATACATTCTCCATTATATACTCATTAATTATAATTTATTTATTAATTATCACTGATAACTGAAATTAAGGAAAAGTCTTATCTTTTCAATGGATCGACCAATCAAAATGACAATTTTCATCTTGAAATTTGTAAACTTTACCTGTGTGATAGGTTAAATCTCCATGTCACCTATGTACAGTGAAAGAACTATTTCTATATTGCTTTAATCCTTATCATTGACACGTTATATGACTGAGGTAAACATCCTAAATTGTCCACCTAAATTTTCACCCCTCCTAAGTCATGTAAGTCAGTACAATGGACATCAAAATAGACGAATTTGTCATCCTCATTCAGGACATTATATTTCCTGTTGGTGATTTTATGGGGTAATGTTAATAAACTGACCGAAACACCATGATAAATTGTCTGTAACAGTATTATTAATAAAAAATAGAAGGTGTGAAGTTACGATCATTCAAATTTATGTGTGCAAGTCAACGAAAGAGGTACAGTGCAAATGACAACTGAAAGAGCAAAGAACTCTAGATTCAATACATGTACACTGTACTGAAGTTTAATATTTATCATTATTTTACATATATGGTAGTTTTTGTGGAAACGTTTTCCATTAGATGACCATGATAACAGAAATTTAAAACTATCTATAGGTTTCTGATGTTTTTTCATTTCTATATTTTATGTGTAAATTATATATAAAATACAAATTACTCCACTGTGTTAGATATAAGCATACATGTACTTTGTGCACAATTTGTCCACCATAATTTATGAACATGCAGCAGTATTACTCATAAGTATAGCTCATTATCAGGGTTAATTTTTTTGGCCTATTATTTCTATCTACCAGAATTTATCATTATACGAGTATATTTTGTAAGTGCCAGTATCATGTTCATATAGATAAATGCTACAAGTTATAGCATTAAATGTGTCCGTTAGTACAATGTAATATTACAGATCCAGAAGTTTTTTCAGGGGTGATGTTAGAGGGTGGGGGTGGGTGGAGTTAGGACAATTAAGTCACTTGGCAATTTTTTCATCAGATACATGACTCCCTGATATTAATCCTCTCTATTTTACAATAGGACCCTCTTTGGACCCCCCCCCCTTTTTTTACACCACTGACAATCCAAAAGAGGGAATGGGGTGGGAGATGGGTAGTTGGCTCATATGATCTAGGCCCCTACCCACCTCCTGTAATCTTCAGAAGCAGTGTTTAACAACATTAACATCTGCAGGGATATTTCATACTCCATTTTTTAAAGATTACATGTACACTGTACACAAATTCAAAATAACAAGCTACCGTGAAAAGTCTGGTGAATGTGTTCTTAAAACTTCAAAATTAATAAACTCTACAAAGACTTAACTCATATTTAAACCTACTTGATCAACAAATGATTCCATTTAAAATGTCAAAATATAATTTATGACTTTTAGCTTTGTAATGTAAATGTAGACCACAAACAGTAAAATTTTACTGTCAAAAGAAGAAAAATGTTTATCACTGTAGATGTAGTACATGTAACCTACAAAAAATAAAGATTGATGGAAAAGATGTGATGAGCGAAAGAAAGAAGAGATGATTTGGGGGGGGGGGGTCCAGATTAAAACAAAATTGACTGTTTATATATTGGTATATCAATGCACAATCTGATCGCAAGAAATTTTAGGCTTATTTACATCCCATTTCTAATATAATTCTTCTTTGGAAATTTCTCGTGAAAATATGTGAATAACAATTACTTGTGAAAAAAATAGGACCCATGAGTAGAAAACTTCAATACAAACAGAAAGTCTGCAAAGTTTACTAAAAAAGCATGAGCATATGAGCATGTGTTAGAAAAGATAAACAAACACAGAATTAATAAAGAATTAATCAGATACATACCATATGATATAGGAATGAAGCCTTCTAAGCAGCATGCAGCTAATTAAATGTATACCGGGATGGTGTATTGCTGTTGATTAAAACCCTTAGTCACCTTCCTGAGGCTACAAGAGAAAGCTCTGATTCAGAATGTACCTAAATGTTATTTAATAATCTATGTAGTATAGTATTCCTTCATTCATCAAAGTCTTGTGTTGTCCATTTAATGATTTACCAATGACTTCAATTTAAATCTTTAACACATAAATAATCAGTGATGCTCCATTGATGTTTTAGCGATTCATTGGGAAAATCTAATAAAAGTAATCTTCAATTTAGTTAAAATCTTCTGGATGGATACACATGTTTGGACAAAGGCTTAAAGCTTTTAAGCTTGTGTTAAAGTGAAAGTAACTACAATTAAATTTCTACTGAGTGTCAACATTTTTCTTCTTAACTTTTGACTTTGTCAACAAGTCAGTCCCTTCCCATTTCAATGATACAAATGTCTGTGAGGCTACATGATAAACAGATTTTGTGATTAAGCAGGGGAAAAAAATGAACAGTACTGTCATGATTTTTTTCATGATGTGTTGATCTATTGTAGAGTTGGCAAATTAGAAAAAGCTGCCCCCCCCCAAAGATCATCATGCTAATGGATCAGAAAGAATTAAAAAGCAGTTAGAAAACCTGTAATGGGTTTAATGTTTGGGGGATTTTTTTTTATTTCGTCAAAATTCAATTTTACAGTGTAAAACATTTTTTTAAATGTTGATGTATGTTTATTTTGGCTTGTTTGAGGTAATTTCTGTAGGCTCCTTAGAATGGGAATGTTTTTTATTTGTCTAACATCTTGAGATAGCTATATCTATCTGATTTTCATTTCCTGGAGATTAGTAAATGACAATTCAAGATACTTTTATTAAATGTTGACCATGAAGGTTTTTATTACATTATAGTCAGGAGCTGCAGAATTTTGTCAGAATTCCCCTACACCTGATAAAAACTATCAGTTTGAAGGAAAACATCAATGGCACTGCTTGCCTGCCATGTGAACAGAGACATCTAGCAGGGATTTCTCATTATCTCTGCAATTTCAGCAGAAATTTGTACTGCTTGCATGGCTTTTCACTTTCTGATAACTAAAGGTGATTAATTTTTTCTTGTATGATAAATATACATGTATATCCTACTTACTTCTGTACATTATAAGGACCTCAGATCTAAATGCAATAAAGGAAATAATTTTGTAAATTGGGAAATTTATTTTGTATAAAATTGTAGATTTTGATGTACTAATCTACTGTATGTAATTTTCAAAATAGGGTAAATGGCAGGTAAAATTAACTGTACTATCAAATAAGCACCCCTAGTTCAGACAAGTAGAGCTTAAATGAGAGCAGAGATCATACATGTACAAGTCTTTTAGTATTATAACTCTGACTAGGCCCCCCTTTATCTACTTACTCTTTGATACATGGTCCTCTGGTGCTTAAAATGGCTAGGGAATAATGGATGCATCGATATGGCCTGTATGGATTAAGTTATTTAAAAGATTTCTTATTCCTTCATTCCTTCACTACATGCTACCATGGGGTTATCATTTCAACCCAGCAATTACCTCCAGGTATAGGTCTTTTATGGATAGAGGCTGATACATTCCGAGAAATCCTCGATATTTCATAGGTTTTAAAATAATTTTAATATTTAAAAAACTTTTGAGTATATTTGTGATAGCTAAAATGGTCAAAATTTGTATTTAATGTAAATCTAAAAGAGAGTCAATCAGCACATTTACATGTACCTATATTAAGATAGCTTATCAAATCATAACCATGATGGAGTTCATTTATAACTTGAAAGGGGGGAGGGTCTGTAGAAAAATTTTAAAAGGTTTTCATCATGTACATCATGTACATGCAGCTTCATGACTATACATATATTGCAAAAGAAAATAATTAAACATTAGTTAGTATGAAGAATGGAAGTCTTATTTTTGAAGCCTTAGCTGCAGGAATCATAGCCGGGCCACATGAAACATAAGTCGTCATGAAAAAACATTTATCTTTTGTAAAGGTTGTATACACATCAGAAATCTCCATCATGCATGCATTCTTCTGTGTAATTAGGCTTGTAACAAAGAGATGCCCCCCATTCTTCATGTTCTCTCACTAGTCTTCAACCTCCCATGTTTTGAAATCTGTCTGCATGTGTACAACTGATACAAATATTCTGCATACTGACCTGATGTTAGCCCACAGTTTCTGTCTAGAGCCCTGAATACTTCCTCAGTGAGTCTTGTCATAATTAGGTTCTGGATTTTCATAATACCAGCTCTCTGTACAAGCCATATGACAGCCTGTCAAAAAAATAAAGGAAATAAAAAAATTTGATTACAATAGTTGTCACACTCTCTGTTCATATTTTAGCTATATAGCTCTTTTCTGTCAATTGATTAAATAATACGAAATTTTTTGCATATTAGTATGCAACCACAGATTTTTGAAAAACATGCATTTTACATCAGTCCATCTGAAAATCAATCTACATGATCTAACTATAAATTCATTGACTTACTACATCTAAAATTCATATGAATTGACAATTAGTTTATATTAGAACAGTCCATTTTATTCTGTGAAGATAATTAATTGAGTCAACAAACACAATAAATCAGATTAATTTTATATACCTTTAAAATTTTATTGCAATCATCACTGATATTTTCACATCCTCCACATTTACAGATGAAGTTCAGTGACAACACCTTTAATTACATGTATGAGCTTCAGGTGAGCTCATTATTGAAATATCATAGGTAAATCTGCCGTGTTACCATGCTCCACTAACTTTCTATACCTTATCTATTACCGACATCTACCGTAATAAAGGACAATTTAATGCACATATACTGTTCCAAGGCCATGAACAGGAAAAATTTCATTCACCCAAATATTCTCAGCACATATTTGATAAACTTACAGTTTCTATTTACTAATTGTTAATGAAAAGTTCCAGGATATTAGCCATTTCTTTTGCTCCATTTTTACTTTATAGTGCTTTGTTATACAGTACACTGACATACTTATAGAAAACTCACCATCTCTGAAAATCTTCAATTCCAACATTCCAACATGTAAAACTACCATTAATAACACATCACATCAAATCTCCATCAAAAAATTCTCCTGAGGGTGTAAACCAATTTAAATCCAAGCTCATAAACCGACACTCCCAACACAAAGAGAGAGGGAATTTATAACAATTACCAGCCCAAATGATAAAGCTGGCAAAGAAACCAAATAAAAATCCCTCTCATGCTAACTTCAAGGGAGGCAGAATTTTCATAATCACCCAGGCAAAACAAGGTCTTGTACACAGTGTTTACAAATGAGATTTGTTAATCCTAACACTCTGATAAATAGTGGTAGGTGCTAAAGCCTGGATGAACTTTATCCTAATTACCCCCCTCCTGGAGCAAATGGGAGAATGACTGTTACAGTGTGGGGGGGATCAACTGATCATAAAGAAAATAATTCCTTTGCTTATATTTCACCCAAGATGGGAGGTATATTTCAGCTAAGTTTTGGAAAATACTGTAAACCCCCATCACACAGCACAGAACATTAATTTAACAAGCTTATCAACTGCATAAGAATATCATTCTGCAAACCATGTTTATCAAATATTAGTTGGCATGTTTACTAACTTAGATGTGTGTAAAACATCGATATCACACTTATATAATATTAAAAAAATTCCAAATCAAATTCCGATCCTCATGTGAATGTGCCCTAGGCCTTAGCATTTTTAAAGTTTATGACGTTTGCTATATGGATTTTGTTAAAGGGGAAATCCAAGATATTGGCATTCAATTGAATTAATAAAATATTAATGATTAATACTTTTTATGCAAAATGGATGTATATACTATGCACTTTTCATGCATCAAAGATCTAACAAGAAGGTCAAAGAAAGAAAATATACCGACACAGAAAAATTCCAACAATAATTTACTATGTCATGATATTTAAAATATATACATGAACAGCTAGTATGTGATGCAGCATTGTTTTTGAAAATATTTGAAATAACAAAACTTGACAAGCCAAAAAAAAGGAAAATTACTGGTGATTGTCCAACCAAACTGTAAAATTTTATTTCGTTTGTGTATGGTGGTGGGGTAGGGGTGGGAGGGGGTGGGGTTAGGTTCAAATTTCTTTCAGACTCAAACATACGACAATACCTTTATTTAACTGTGATGGAACCAAAAATGGCACATAATCTTTTATTATAATTTCCTACAGTAAAATGTTTTGTCTGAAAAAAAAATGGCCAACTTTTAAGTAATTCTAAATTGTTTCTAGATACTTACATTGGCCTCTTAAACAAGGTATACCTGATCTAAAATCATATGTTATTTGAATATATATTATATACATATTGCATAGTGATTTTGGGAAAAAACTCACTGAATTATAAACTGTTAAAAGTTGGTTAAAATTCTTTAAAATATTCAATACCAGTAAAATATTTATCATAAAATAATTTAGTTATCAATATATGGTATATTCCCCAAGTTTTGATGATTAAATCCATACAGGTTCTACATATATCAATTTATCAATTTTACTTGTCAATGTGTCACAATCTATTTTTCATCCATTAAATCATGAACAGTTTTATAATTATTCAATACCTGTCAATATTTGATAAATTAGGAAAAAAGTGTCAGGGTAAATTATGCTTAAGAAATACATGTACAGGTATATTTCTGTATATACAAATAAAGCCATATAACATTCTTGGCATGACCCAAAATGAAAGATAACAGCATTATAATAAATATAGCTTCCTGATACATGTCAAATTTAATGAACTTGCCAAAATATAAATTGAGACTGATCTTCATAACTTCCTCTTTCACGGTAAATTTCAATAAATATTTAATGTACAATTTAATTTTCATTATCTGACTTTAGAAAAATTCCACTGACTATATTATTAAACAGTAACCTGATCTACACCTAGCTTGTAACCAGAAGTCTCTGTCGAGACTGAAGCTCTACTGGTTTGTACTTATAGCAATTGGGAATTGAAACTAAATAGAATAATGATCCTTAATTAAGTCTCTTTATGTTCTAAGTGTAGTCTTTGCATGCCACATTTATATTATAATCAGACTAAAACTGTATTTGAAGTAGCATTTTGAGAGTATTTAACAGAAATTTCTATTTTTAATAACCGTGGCAACACCGTTCATTGAAGTGAAAAACTGATAAATAGAATTATGTACCTTAGTGTAGTCTACTGTGTGCCAAGTTATATTGAAATCAGACCAAAACTGTAGGAGGAGTAGCATTTTGAAAGAATTTCACAGAAATTTCTATTTTTAGTAACAACGGCAACACCGTTCATCGAAATCAAAAACCGATATATAGAATCATGTATCTTAGCGTAGTCTACTTGGGTGCCAAGTTATATTGAAATCAGACCAAAACTGTAGGAGGAGTAGCATTTTGAAAGAATTTCACAGAAATTTCTATTTTTAGTAACAACGGCAACACCGTTCATCGAAATCAAAAACCGATATACAGATTTATGTATCTTAGCGTAGTCTACTTGGGTGCCAAGTTATATTGAAATCAGACCAAAACTGTAGGAGGAGTAGCATTTTGAAAGAATTTCAAAGAAATTTCTATTTTTAGTAACCACGTCAACACCGTTCATCGAAATCAAAAACCGATATACAGATTTATGTACTTTAGTGTAGTCTACTTGTGTGCCAAGTTATATTAAAATCAGACCAAAACTGTAGGAGGAGTAGCATTTTGAAAGAATTTCACAGAAATTTCTATTTTTAGTAACCACGGCAACACTGTTCATCAAAATCAAAAACCGATACACAGAATTATGTATCTTAGTGTAGTCTACTTGTGTGCCAAGTTATACTGAAATCAGACCAAAACTGTAGGAGGAGTAGCATTTTGAACCAGAAGTCTCTGTCGAGACTGTAGCTCTACTGGTTTATACTTAAAACAAAGGAAGAGAAAAGTAGCAGTTGGGACTTGAGACTTTAAATCAGCAATAAATAGAAAAATGATCCTTGCCACTCATCAAAATAAAAACCAATGCACAGAATTATGTATCTTAGTATAGTCTACTTGTGTGCCAAGTGATACTGAAATCAGACCAAATCTGTAGGAGGAGTAGCATTTTGAAAGAATTTCAAAGAAATTTCTATTTTTAGTAACCATGGCAACATTGTTCATTGAAATCAAAAACCGATGCACAGAATTATGTATCTTAGTGTAGTCTACTTGTATGCCAAGTTATATCAAAATCAGACCAAAACTGTAGGAGGAGTAGCATTTTGAAAGAATTTCACAGAAATTTCTATTTTTAGTAACCACGGCAACACCGTTTATCGAAATCAAAAACCGATGCACAGAATTATGTATCTTAGTGTAGTCTACTTGTGTGCCAAGTTATACTGAAATCGGACCAAATCTGTAGGAGGAGTAGCATTTTGAAAGAATTTCACAGAAATTTCTATTTTTAGTAACCAAGGCAACACCGTTCATCGAAATCAAAAACCGATGCACAGAATTATGTATCTTAGTGTAGTCTACTTGTGTGCCAAGTTATAATGAAATTTGACCAAAACTGTAGGAGGAGTAGCATTTTGAAAGAATTTCACAGAAATTTCTATTTTTAGTAACAATGGCAACACCGTTTATCGAAATCAAAAACCGATGCACAGAATTATGTATCTTAGTGTAGTCTACTTGTGTGCCAAGTAATACTGAAATCGGACCAAAACTGTAGGAGTAGCATTTTGAAAGAATTTCAAAGAAATTTCTATTTTTAGTAACCACGGCAACACTGTTCATCGAAATCAAAAACCGATGCACAGAATTATGTATCTTAGTGTAGTCTACTTTTGTGCCAAGTTATATTGAAATCAGACCAAAACTGTAGGAGGAGTAGCATTTTGAAAGAATTTCAAAGAAATTTCTATTTTTAGGAACCACGGCAACACCGTTCATCGAAATCAAAAACCGATGCACAGAATTATGTATTTCAGTGTAGTCTACTTGTGTGCCAAGTAATATTGAAATTGGACCAAAACTGTAGGAGGAGTAGCATTTTGAAAGAATTTCAAAGAAATTTCTATTTTTAGTAACCACGGCAACATCGTTCATCGAAATCAAAAACTGATGCACAGAATTATGTATCTTAGTGTAGTCTACTTGTGTGCCAAGTTATACTGAAATCGGACCAAAACTGTAGGAGGAGTAGCATTTTGAAAAATTGTTTACAGACAGACAGACAGACAGACAGACAGACAGACGGACGGACGACGGACGCATTACTATCGCATAAGCTCTTCTGGTCTCTGACCAGTAGAGCTAAAAATTGTTTACAGACAGACAGACGGACAGACAGACAGACAGACAGACGGACGACGGACGCATTACTATCGCATAAGCTCTTCTGGTCTCTGACCAGTAGAGCTAAAAAAGACACCTGCAAATAAACACATGTAACAGGAAAGGAGATAATGTATGGCTGGACCGGTAATTGAACCCGGGACCCCTCCATCTCCAGTCAGGTGCTCTACCAACTGAGCTATCCATGCCGATATCCATGGCCAAACCATTACATTCCTCCCCCTTTAATGGTCTTCGCCCTCGAAGACACAACCCAAGTTCTTATTGCCCCTGGCAGGACTTTCACCTGCAATTCCAGGGGTGGTCAATGGCACCAAATCTGGAACAGGAAAGGAGAAAAGTATGGCTGGACCAGGAATCGAACCCAGGACACCTGCATCTCCAGTCAGGTGCTCTACCAACTGAGCTATCCAGGCCGATATATCCTCGGCTCAAACCATTACACACATATACATTCAAAGGTATACTTAAATATATAACCATCAGGATCTTTCAAATTCTATACAGTATTCACCTGAATAGCCATATGCATTATAAATGAGATACAAGATTAAGGAAATACAGATGTGCACAAAATGTGGCAATCATGCAAGGATCGAAATATATTTTTTAATATAGAATATAAAATAACAGAATATAAATCATTAACATTTCAATAACCTCAATTTTCTGATTTGTTGGCTCCTTTTACATTGGTTCCCATCTCTCTTTCCTCAATGTTAGATAAAAAATCAGCTGTTTTAATCCTTTATGTGCAGATTGAACTAATAAAAATTATATAAGCCAAATGATATTTTATTTATCCATATCATAAAACTGTAAATATTGAAGACATTTAGTACATACCTGTGGTTTTCTGCCTCTGTGTATAACAAAGGAACTGTAAATTAACAGATGTTTGCTCAGAGGACTGAGTGTTGAAGCTAATATAGAATGTCTGAAGTGAACAATTTCCTGTTTCAGATTTTCACTGAAGTGGCTAACATGCAAA